TGACATTTTTAATGTACATTGTGCTTTACCAGATGGTGGTTCACCTTGACCAACACTACCATTATCATTTTTCATATCTAAATACCACATGTCTCCTAAATACAAACAAATGATTTTCTGTGTGGTTTTTTTAATATTGCTTTAATTTCAATACCTTGTAAATCAAATGCATAAACACTATTAATTTTTTTTAATAATTCTGGTGTTAATAATGTTTTAATATTATCAAATATTTGTTCGACATTTGATGGTTCACTTTTCGTTGTTTCGGATTTTTGTTTAGTTTTTGATGATTCTCGCTGTTGTAATTGCGGAAGATTTTCATCAAGAAAAAAATCAAGCATTAAATCAGTTGTACCAGGTACAACAGCATATTGATCAAAATCTGTTACACCTTGTTGACGAAGTAATGTTTCATCAACAAAAAAATTGCCTGAACATGCACGACTATCTTGTGTTATAATTGCATATGCTGCATCAGCCATAATTTCTGGTCGTCGACATTTTTTTCGATAATCTTCACCAGCAATTAAATTTATTGCATCAGTATCAATAGCTATTGAAATATAAAAGAAAAAATAGAAGCAAAAAAACCGAAAAAAATAAAAAATAAAACTTTCATACCAGTTTTTGGCCATATTGTATTTACAGCAATACCAGATTCACGTAATTCAGCTGCAAGACCTAACGCATATAAAGACATGTTGTATTTAGCAACAGTATAAGCGACATGTCCTTTAAACCAATATGGATTCAATGATAATGGTGGTGAATTCATAAGAATATGAGGATTCGAGGATTTTTTTAAATATGGAATAGCCACTTTTGAGCTACAATTAATAAAAAACAATAATATTGTAGATATATTTAATTTGCTTTTTTTTGAAAAGATCACGTCAGGCTGCAGTATTCTCTTTTTTTCTTTTAATTCCTACTTTTTATGAAAAGAAAAAAGATGACAAATTCTATACCTCGAAAACTCTGAAAAATTTTTCATCCATTTGTAAGTGTTTTTCTTCTTAAATAATAATAGAAAAGCTTAATTCAAAAATGAACTGTACAGCTTTACATGCTCTTGCAAGCATAAAAATAGCAATTGGCTATCATGAAACTCCTTCGAGTATTTCAGCTAAGTATAAATAAAGCTTTGTCTGAAAACAACATATTTTTCAAGTAGAAGATGATCGAAATTATCAAAAACGCTGGCAAAAAAAAGCAGATATTAAAAAAACCATGTCGTTTATGAAAGATCACACCTCAGACTATCATCTCAACTTTGATTTTTCTAAAAGACATAATACTTTTCAAAAAGAGTATTTTATTTCAGCGTTTTCATCACAAATGAAAGAAAAAAAAATAGCAATTACATACCAAAGAAAAGTTCCACGGGCATTAATTGAATGCATTAAATCATAACGTTTCATTGGTGTTGATGGTGTATCAGTTAATGAAATAGCAGATGCATTATTAATTAAAATATCAATACCACCAAATTTTTGAGCAGCTTCTTCAAATGCTTTAATAACTTGTTGTTCATCACGTACATCAACAACACATGGTAAACATTTTCCACCAGCTTTTTCAACTAAATAACAAAAGAAAAACATTTATAATGAAGAAAAAAAAAGTTTATTGTTCTTCATAAAAACAAAAAAATATTACTTTCTTCAGCGGCTGTATAAATTGTTCCTGGTAATTTTGGATGAGGTTCAGTTGTTTTAGCAGCAACAACAATATTAGCTTTATCTTTTGCACATCGTAATGCTATTTGTTTACCAATACCACGAGATGCTCCCGTTATGAAAATTGTTTTGCCTGCTAACGATCTTTAAGTTAAAAAAACAAGAAAATATTTTTTGTCTTTACTAAAGAATTATCTGACTTACGGCATGAATTTTCAAAATATTCAAAATTTTAAAGATTAGAAAATCTTATCTGAAGAGAAAAAAACAGAAATTTTATAAAAAACGATCAAGAAATTTTATATAGATTGATTTAGCTTCCGATGTTGTCGGAATAAAATGACCACCATCATGTCGTAATATTTCAGCATTTTTATAATATTCCTTTGCTAGAGTTTCTGACATAAGACAAGGTATAACACGATCACCTAGTCCAATAACATGTAAACTAGGTAAATCAATTTGAAGATTATTATACATGGATTGATGTTGTTCTTGACCACTTTTAAAACTAGCAACTAATATAACAAATCGAAAAGGATATTTTGTTGAAGCATAACGAGCAAGAAGTAATGTAGCAAAAGCAGCACCTTGTGAAAAAGCTAATAAACCATCGAAAGGTACTTGTTGTGCATTGATATATTTCATTACATATTCTAATGATTGTTCAAAACCTTGATCACATGATGTTGTTGCTAATGGATCATAAGTTTCATCACATGAAGAAAACCACCAACCTTAGAAAACAATGAAATAAAATGAAATTCAATTTTGATTTCTTGTCATTCGTTGAAAAAGTTTTTCCCTATTTAATAAAGTGTGTGATTATTCTATGCAAAATATACAAGGAAATTAAAGTTGTTTTTTATGTAAAATTTAATCTTAGCTGGAATGAAATTTATAGGATAAAAAAGTACGTCAGATGACTAAGCAGAGAGTAACTAACCTGTCAATTGTCATGTTATGAAGTGTAACAGATATTAAGAATATTATTGAATTACTATTGAAAGCTAAAACGTGTAACACAAAAGGCCATATTACAGTGTGGACTATAAATAGCACTTTGATAAAAAAAATGAAATACCTCCTCGTCACTCCAATAAAATGGGTTGATTCTTTTTGGTTAACGGTAGAAGTTTATTCAAAGGTTTTTTCTTTTATAAGGATAAGGTAAGTAAATACAACTATTACATATTATGTTTGGTATCAAGAGAGCAATTTTACCTGTTATCAAGTAAGAAAAATACATGTATAACATTTCGTCGATAATTTTCAGCTGTTGTCTAAGAAAGTAAGAAAAAGAAATAAAAACAAACTAGAAGCATAAAGGTTGCCCCGTACGATCTAGGCCTCAACGAAAATTAATTTATATGTAAACAAAGAGTTCTTCATACCAGAATATATCTCTATGCGCTTCGAATACTTAGAACAATCTTCTAAATAGTATATTATTCGACACAACTATCGTTTTTTTAATAATAGTGGCAGATACAGAAAAATGACAATTTGGGTGTGGCTACAGAGAATAGTCACACCCACACTACAATTATTAAATTTCGAAGTTTCAAAACATGGAATACTGATTTTTGAAAAGAAGTTGGTGCTCAATAGGCTGAATGTCTTGTACTTAAAGGGTGTGAATTTCAGCATTTAACCTTTTCAGACCTATGGCTCAGCCAGTAACTGAAATTTCTTTGAGATTTTATATTTATTATGGGCAGTACTGTGAATATTTTCATCAAAACTTTTTAAAAATCTTCAAAGCGATTTTGGGCCCATGCCCGTACTTCCCCACGGGAATGGTAAAGAAGCAATTTGATCATTGCCGTAGGGGGGGGGGGGGGGTACGGGTGTGGGTCAAAATTCGATTGAAAGCTATCGCAAAATCAATCTTTGGAATACCATTATGAGTCACTCCTAACGTGATTTCAACATGTAAAAACGAAAATATTTTAGGTTCCGCAAAAGGGCATTATCTGTCCTTCTTCTAGATGTAGTGTCCCAAAAGCTCATCAGGCGTTCTACCTGAGTGATCTCATTACAGTTAGAATTTTCATGTAGGTGCATTCACCGAAGTCTCTTCTATGTCATAGAGGAAATCGCATCTCAATATCTGTTTACCCTCCCGAGTTATTAAAAGATTACGCAACTTGAAAAAACCGTACTAAATTTAGTACGATGGACCTGAAAGGGTTAAACTGGCTACTAGTTTAAAAAACTTGTTCTCTATGCATCAATATAGTTCTTTTCGACTTCGTATTATATTATCTATGGAACAGTTCATGTGTTCTTCGTACTTGACAATAAGTAAAATAGCTTTGATGAGATCCAAAATATAACTTAACAATAGTATCAGTTTAAGTTATCTGTATGGAAAAAAAACGTCTAAGATAAGTTTCTGCCACCAACAGAAAAATCAATCCATTTGAACGCATAGTAAGAAGTGTTTATTTGGACATGTCACTTTAGTTATTTACTCTTATTCATATGAAACTAAAACAATTTCATTAGAATTGATATTGATTGATTGCTAGTATCTGGAACTATTTACTATATATATATATATGTATTTAGTTTTCAATCATTTGATTTTCCTGTCAAATCCATATGTAGACTCATTCACTAGTATGCTATTTAGACTATCTTGTATTTATTATAATGATATGCCAAAGTTCTTTGACATCTCTCATAAGGCAATACAGAAAAAAAATATTTTCAATTATAATCCTCATGAAGAAAATCTATTTTTGACATTTAGGAAAATGATAGGTTGTTAAATTGAATATTTTCTTTCTTTCCAAGTTTTCATGCGAACTATTATAATCTATCACAATACCCCTTTCATTTGATCGATTTGATGCTGTCGCACTAGTATCTTGTTCATTTGTATCATCTTGTACTGGAATAATATGTGGTGCATCAATATAAACGAATTCAGCCACATGTTTTTTTAATAATTTCCTAAATGATCCTATTTTTTCTCGAAACATATTTCCATTTTGTCGATAACCATGTAAACACAAGATACGTAATAGTGTCATACTAAAACAAGACACAACTGAATAATAAAATAAATCAAAATAGTTGTTAGACGTTCTTTTTATTTTTATTTTAAATAAAACTTATAGGAATTTTTGTGATATATATCTATCTATGAATAAAAACGACGTATCGTCATACATAGATGAGATTATGATTAGAACAAAAAAACAACAACAACAACAACAACAGATATGAATGTGTTCCTCTTTTTTTTTTGTCTTTTTTTATATAAATAAGTAGATTGATACGAATAAAATATTGTAATCTTTTCTTTTCTTAAACCGATTTAATAACACGCATTCGAAGTTGATCAAATTTTTCTCGTAATTCTGTTACATTGAAGCTAAAAAGTCAAATATAGATATTATATGATATGAAAAATAAAAGTTCATACACTTACTGCATCCATTTATCATAAATAATTTCATAAATTTGCGTCATATAAATTTCAGCTAAATATGCTAAATTAGCAGTATAATAACTAGCCCAATCAAATAAAATGTTTAAATAATGAACACTTTCAGTAAATATAACTACTGATATTCGTTGAATCTAACAATAAAAAGAAACTATTTATGATGATCATGTGTCTAAGAATATGTATGATGAAATTGCAAGCTAAAATTTTGTTCGCAGATAAGCTTAGAAGAATTTTAAGGATATGTTTGTTCTTATTAAACTTTTAGAATGGTTCTAATAACTACAAGATATATCTGACGACAAAATCTCAACTAGAAATTCGATCATCGAGGCTATAAACGAATTTAAACCCATAGACAAAGATCAAGTGAAACATCTATCATTCAATAAGTCTAGATCGGGAAAAATCAAAATAGAACAGGATTTTTTTCTACTTATCATCACCAATCGAATGATACTAGTCTTAAACAAAAAACGATCGAATACTTGGAAATATTCCCTCATAAGACCAGTAGCATCAAAAGTATTCTATCTGTAAAGAACTTTGCTGAATATCTCGAATATCTGATTTTTCCATTTTTCGATTCTTTCTTTCAAGTAGGTGTATTATATCGTTTCTTGAGATTCGAACGGAAACATCTAAAGATATTGATGTTCGAGATCTCTAACAACAACTCTTTTTGTTATTCTGTCTATGGTAAAATAGGCTTTCAAAAAAAAATTAATTCAAAATAAAACTCTATAGAAATTTTTAATTTTTTTTTTTAGTTTTTGATTAAACTTTTCTACTAATACATACTTGTTCAGCGATTTCAATACTTTTATCATAAATAGGCCCTTCGATATATTTTAATACAAAAGCCCATTGTTTTTGAAGATATTGACCAAATTTAATTGCATATGGTTCAATATTTGTCATAGTTGAACGAAGAAATTCTTCAGCATATCTATCAATATACATAAATATAAAAGTAAAAAGAAAAATAGATACACAAAAATCTTCATACTTTAACGATAATAAACCGAATTTTCTTGTTTCCTTATATGCATCAGATAGACGTTCTTTAATTATAATAGCCGTAGGATGTTTAAGATAATCTAACAAATTTAAATATATGATTTAAATTTCTAAAATTTAATTTTCTTACCTTCAAGTAAATAATCTGCAGCAACAGTTAACCATAACCAATTTTGATAAATAATAAATGAAATAATAAGTAAAACAACTAATTTTACAATAAAACCAATTCTACATGTTGAATGTTTTTGACGTTTATTATTTACTACAACTGTATTCTAAATAAAAGCAAAAAAAAAAGTTTTCTATGACAAAAAAAAAAAGTCTTGAAATTAATTACATTTTTTGTATAAGCACGTAAAAATTCATTATGTTCTACATTATCATTCTCTCCATTATTAACGATTTCATTCGATATTGTTCGAAGTTGTTGAACAATATTACGAAATTCTTTTGATGTTGATAAACCAGAAATTGTTGTTTCATTTGTTTGTAACAATGATAAAAGATCTCTTTAAAAAAAAAACAATAATTTATCAAAAAAAAAATAATTTTTTTTAACAAAATATTTACGATGAACTTTGAGGATATTTTTCATGATATAATAACCAAATTTTAATAACTGATTTATCCGCAAAACAAGCAATAATCATACGATCAAGCTAAAAAGTACAAACGATTCATTTATTAATTAATAAACACAAAAAAAAATTAAATAATTTTTTTTTGTTACAAGTAATTGATTCTTTGGTGATCGTTGTTTCTCAGCATGAAGAACAGGAAATAGAACTTTAAAATATTCTTTTGCATGTTGAGATAAATTTTTTGTATTATTCAAAAATAAATCCTATTATTAGAAAAAAATAAAATTATTCATATTTTCTTTTTTCTTTTTTTCATTACAGAAAGAATGACGACATTTTTTGACAATGTTGTACGCATATCTCTTGTTAATGCAGGATTTGGTTGATCAACAAAATCAAGAAGTTGTATATAAGATTCAACTGGAAAAATTTCATTTGATTGAAGAAATTTTTTATTTTTAGCATTTCGTCTACAATCAAAAATTAGAGTAGAAAACTTTTTTTTTATTTATTTGAGAAAAATTTACGTCGTAAGTTGAGTTAAATTTTCCACGATAAGTTGATTATATGTTCGATTTTCAATAAATGGAAACATTAAACGAAACCAAACTAAAAAATAATTAATCAAATATGTGGAATAAATAATAATATGAAGATATTCTTTTCTGAGCACATTTACGATCCACGTTCAACATCGTCCAATCAGATTAAAAATATCTTACACTATATCTTAGAAGTGATTTTAAAACAAATATCTATTGTCAACATCTAAGCTCGATCAGACAAAGTTAGATAAGAGTCGTAAAGCAAGCTTAATGAAATTCTATGGAAAACCAGATTTCACAAGAAAAAATCGTAGAAGTTTCATTGAAAATTTTTTCTTCAAACACCTGTCTCCTTATCTTATGTGCTGTATCTGTGATAAAAGTTTCATATGGATCAGTTATATTCTTAACGTGATTGATTATTTTTTTAGTTAGAAAACAATGTCAATTTCGATAAGATCATCTGATAATTTATTTGATCTTCAGTTAAAGACAAATAGATTACTACAAAATTAACCTTGTAACTGATAATTTTTTCTTTTTAAAATTAAATAGTAACACACTTTTTAAAATTTGAAATCTTTAAGAGTAACATAAAAAATTAACCGATAAATTATAATAAATAATTTTATATGTAATATCCAGTAATAAGTTCAAAATTGAAAATCTTCCACAAGAATAACCCAAGCATTCTAGTCGTTTATTTTATTTTCTCGCACTCCTCAAAAGGATATCGTCTTGCTTGAATAGCAATTCAATATCTGAAGAGGTTCCTTCGTAGGATACTTATTTATTATTATGCAATGAAGTTTATCATTTCTCACAGTTTTAGTATGTCTATTTCATTTCAATAAATTATCCAATCCTTATAAACTTACTGTCTAATGCCAAACCAGGATGTTCATATAGTACTTGACTATAAGCCCAAAATAATCGAAGTACTTTATCTGATGGATATCGTTTAAGTGATGTTGATAACTAAAAATATAAGAATATATAAATATTCTTATGATTTATTTAATAAAATCTTAATTTACTTCATCAACTTCATCAAGAAATGAATCATTTGGTCGTTCATCAAGATTGCGAAGAAAATATTGTAATAATATTTGATAACCAGTAATACTATGAATATCTATGATCACAACAAATAAATTTGTTCAAAAAAAAAAAACACGATAAAATTAATTTTTCATTTACCAGCATTTGGATTAAGTAAATTATTTCGACAGAGTGTAATAGCTTTCAATTTTGATTGCATATCAAAAATTTCATCCAAATATTCTTTAACTGATGTAGATAATGTATTCAATGGATAATCTTTTACAAAAAAAAAAGATCATATAAGACATTTATTTTTCTATTGTTAAATTACCTTGATTTGTTTCCTTGGAAAATATTGGATCATTTAAACCAGATGTAACATCTTTGAATTGTTCAATAAACCAATAACAAACTTTTTCAACCCATAATGATGTATTATCTTTTGATGATTTATATAATTGTTTAAGTTTATCAACATTCATCTATTAAAATATGTAAATATACAAAAAATTTATTTATGAAAATTTTTCAACTAACATTTTGAAGTGCTTGTTTTAATGTTAATGTATTTGAACTTGGTTTATTAGGTTTAGTTATTTTAACCGATGGATTCTTTTCATTAGATAATATAGGTTTTTGTGTTTTTATTTCACCTGATTGATTTTCATCATTTTCATCTAATATTCGTTCTTTCATAGAACTAAACGCACTATCCGAAAGTTTAATTACTAAAAGAAAAACAATAATAATAATAATAAATCAAATATTTCTATTCGATTAATATTTATATAAAAGAAATACTTTTCACTTCAGCTTTTGGCATAACCGGTATTCCTGATGGTTTTGTCGATGATGAAGTTGGTTTTGCTTTTGTTTTTCCTGATACCGTTGTCCAATTTGTTTCGTTATTAGGCATTTTAAATGTAAATGAGGAAAAAAAATATAGGCAAAATCTAAAAATATATGTATATATTCATCGTAAACTTTAGAAACAAAGAGACCGTATGATGCATTGTTTTTCTTTATTATGCTTGTATGTGTTTGTGCAGCGTGTCAATACACACTGCTCGAAAAATGACTGGTAATTTTAATGTAGCCAATGGAAAATTTGAGTCCTTATAATAGAATATGATTCAATATAACAATTGATTAATTAAAATAATGACCAATGATTTCCTCAAGCAAATATTTTTTTTTTCAAATTTTAATCACAGAGAAAATATTTGTGATAATTAAAAATAAAGAGAAAGAGATAGTAGAGGTGATATGAATCGAAATCAAATCACCAATCAATTCAAGCGATAGATCATTAAAATTTTATTTAAGATTAATTCATTCATCTATTCGATTAATCTTAATTGTTACCTTGAGATTTCTCAATTTTTATTGGTCACTTGTGTATTAATAAATATGCCGTAGTTTAAATAAATTGAAAAGTTAAAAAAGACTAATCATTGACTGTCTTCGCACGAAAAGAAATCAACTTCATCATAGCATCTAACAAACTGTGTCATTTTATTTTTTTGTAGCCTAATGATCAGTAAAAATATCAACAATAGTTTATTAGAAATGTATTTTGCGACCACCAAATGACAACTGGTTGGATTCTGTTAGAATCAGAATTCTCTGTTACTTCCAAATATATGTGTAAATTTTCTTTCTGTAGTAAGCTTGAACAACTATTAGTAAATTTTGTGGAAACTATGTCAAAACTCTGTCTATTATATAACACGATCCTAAATGTGAAGTGTTCTTGCTTAAGTTCTAATTTCTTACGAAAGTGAATCTACAAATGAAATGCTCCTAGAGCAAATTTTCTAGAGCATTGAACGAGATTTTCAAAGGTAAAAACAGTTGTTCTCTAACTATTTTTACTTGTGTAAGAAATAAAGTATACTTCTATTAAAGGTTCAAAACATACTCAGGAGCTCTTAGCGAATAGAATTTAACTGCATGCTACTTGAAACATCATTCTTTTCTCCAGTCAGAGATGGAGACCAGGGCTCATTTGAGCTGCGAATTTTTTCCTATGTTCTTTTTCCAGTTTTTAATGTAAATCAACAAAATTCTGGTCAGTAGACTTGTTGCTACCCTTTATCTATTGCCTAAACACACATATATAAAGAAAAACAAAATCTAAAAAGTACTAAAAACTATAAATGTCTACTGACAATATTTTATAGCTTTTTTTTTTAATAAACATATAGAATAAATACAGATTACTATCGTTAAATTTGATCATAGCCAGAAAAATCGAATTAGCAAAAAATGAGGTACTTTAGAAGAGATTAATTGCTTCATCAGTCGATTAAAGGTCAAATTCAAGTTTAAATTCTACGCATAAACTATCTGACATTTGTAATATTGAAATTATTACTCACTTATGTAAACTGAAAATAGTACCGAAAATCAAATTTTCATACCAGTGTTACATTTATCTACCTTAAGATGCAATATTTGTGAGAAAAAAGTAGTGCATGAGAATTACTGAGAAAAATTAATTATGACATCGGTTTGCCTACTGATATACTATAAATAGCTGTCTGAAATTTTAAAATAAGGTCTTTTTCGTAGTGTTGTTACAGCAAAATCAATCAAGTTTTATCTTGAGAATGTCTTGATGTGAAGGGAAAGACAAAGGTTTATTCTTTTGTTACAAAGAATTTGCTTTACAACTTGACAGAAATGCTTGTTTCGAATTTTGAAATAAATACTTAATGCGCAAAGTAGCGTGTTACATTGACAAGCCGAATTATATTTATATCTTCTCTTTATTTTAAGTCTATTATTAATCTTTAACAAAAAAAAAATCATATTATTTGAACACCATTATTTATCATATAATAAAATTTTATTTGTTGTTATCAATCACCAGATTTATTTGTTTTCCAAGAAAAAAAAAATAGTAACATTTATATACAGACGAGAAAAAAAATAGCAAAAATTCCAGCTCAAACAAACAAAAAAAAAAATAATGTACTCTTTATTTTTTTGCAAAAACAACTTTCGTTGGCAAATAATAACCAACAATATGCAAAAAAAGTTGATATGATATGAATTAAGTACATAAATATATATATTTATATATATATGTTAACGTTGTAATAAATATACGATTATTCTAACATTGTAAATAAATAAAGATATACAAATAAGGATGCACAAGAAAATAAGAATAAATAAAAGATAATTTCAATTTCAAGTTTGCATTCTACTTAATGATAATAAATGTTGACTATGTTTTGATGGTTTTCTTTTTATTTTATGTTCAATATTATGAATACCATTTTCTTTTATTTTCGATAATGTTAAATCAGGTACACGTTGAGAACGATTAGGATTTGAATCAGTTGAATCAGTTGATAATTTTCGTTTTTTTAAACCATTACAAATACGTGAAATATCATTCATATTATTATCGTCATTATCATCATTATTATTATTTTCGATTTGTTTAACTAAAATTAAAAAAAAAAAAAAAGAATTATTTAACATCGGAAAAGTATTTAAAAAAGCAAAAACGAACTATTAGAGATTTTTTCATATTCATTAATAATATGTTTTAATTTTCGTTTTAGTCGAAATAAACTATATGTTGACCAAAGACACCAAATAGATAAACATAGTATGAGAAAAATAATTAATGGAATCCATGCTTCAAGTTTTATTAAACGAGATGATATTTGATTGAAATTTTCTTCTAATCGATATAAATATTCTTCTAAATTTGCTAACTAAAATAAATATGAACAAAATATTTAATAAGATATCAAAAACATGATAATAAATTACTCTTTCATCAGCAACTTGTGATGATTTTAGAAGAAGATCAGTTGTTTGTTGAGTTTCATCAAGTTTCTTTCTATAGAGAAAAAAATTTTTTTGAGAAAAAAAAACATTATTTATTACTGAAACATACACATAATGTTGACTTAGTTCTTGTAAATATCGATTACTTAATGTTAAATTAAAATTAAGTTTTTCAATTATTTTATATAATTCTGGTAATGATTTTGTATTCATTAACATGCCTTTAAGCCATGGACTAGAAATAATAGGTGGTATTGGTTCATTATTATTATTTATTGTAGACGATGATGGAGATGTTGTTGTTGTTGTTGTTGTTGTTGATGTTGATGGTGTTACAGTCACGATCTCATCAATGTTATTAGTATCAATTGATTGTTCGGTTAAATTACTATCAATATTGATTGTTTCAATCGTAGATGTTTGTGAAAAACTTTCATTTGTTATATTCGATGATATTTGTGATTCAGGCATCATGAATGCTTCGTTTGAAGTATTACTCGAAAAATTTTGTTCATTAGAACGATTTAGTTTATTATCATTGTTAGTTTCGTTCAATAAAGTATTGTTAAATTTTAACATAGATTTATTATTAGATAAATTTGAATCTAGGATAGATATTAAAATAATATATCAATTGGATGATTGAAAATAGATATATTGCGTTGTAATTTTTACACATATTATCTTAGCACAACAGTCTGCTGAGAATTACTTGAACATTTAAAAGATCGTTACTATTAGAGCATTAACCATGTCGAACTAACGAACAAAGTCAAACGAAATTGGTAAATACGAATAAACATTAACTTTTTCGGCAGGTGGAACGCAAGAAATAATCTCCTAATCGAAGAAGCTACATTTCTTACACAAAGTATACAATGATGCATATCATCGACGCTAAGTTGTCGCAACCTAGAAATGCGATTTAGAATAAAAGTCAATACTCAAGATGGTCAACAATCATACGAAACATTTACTAAATAAACATCAATACACTTTTACCGAAGCAGAAAGATTATTTCTTTTTCCTTATATTAGACTATGTTTAATTTTCACTCGACACCGAAAGTTAATATTATTTAAATAATCAACAATCTACTAACACTGAATGGACTTATCTATTAAAATAAGTTTTTTCTATCAAATATTTCAAATAGTAGTCTTCAGTTTATTATGAAAGATTTGATCGGAAATCTTTTAAAAGTACTAACATTCCTTCACAGAGATTGACACAGCTGTCTCGTGCACTTACTCCAGGGAACTGCAAAGTGGTCCCGGTCCCGGTCCCGGCGGGACTTGGATCGGGACTAAAATTGTTTCACACTGGTCCCTGTCAGTTTTTATGCAATATATTTTCACGTTTATTATTTTGACATGATTAAAGATCTGTAAATCAGATATTTTTATTTGCTATGTCTATAAAAGTCTTTACTGATTACGAGTCTGTTTGCAAGAATCTGAGTTATCCAATTGCACAGGTTTTTGAATACATATAAAACAACCAACACAACACTATATACGTAAGTTTAATTCGTTCATTGTTTGATGATTCCTTTATTTAAGTCTTATCAGATAATAGTAAATAGATATGTGTCGCCGTTTATTTTTCTTTTGACAATCGTAATAGCTACTCAGTATAAATAATCAATTCGATAATAAATCCATTAGGTAGAGCAGTAGATATAAAAGAAGAGAGAAATAAGTAAAAGACTGCTACGAAGTACATAAGAATTTTTAACAAAATTCAATGGTTATTTTTATTTATTCGAGCTTTCAGTGAAATTCTTTCACTTTAACACTGGATACAAAAGAATTTTCGTACTGTTAACGAATCAAAATCATTCATGTCAATTTGATGTATTCATAAAAGTACACAGATCGTAAAAAGAAGTTGCTCGATTTTAGAAATGAAACCATTGTCAAAGACCGAGACCGGGACCGGGACTAAAACAAGTGATTTTGCAGTTCCCTAACTTACTCGCGCTTATCCGTTTCGCACGGCTTTTTTTTCTTGTTAGGTTAACACTTGTCCAAAGCGTGATATCATCTTTTCATTGTTCTTTCAGGCCGATTATAAGCATAGTGTGGCGCAATAAATACTCCATGAAAATTTACATAACGTTACACAAGTATACACTGAAACGTGAGACAACTTCGTCTATCTCTATTACTATACTGATCTTCATAGGATAAGCAAAATCTAATAATGAATTCGACATTGACATGATAGTGTGTTCACAAATCTCTTACTTTCATCAGTAATTATTATTGTATCATCAGTAGAAATAATGAAATCTTTTTCCATAATATTCTGATTTAATTCAACATTCGTATTTATTGATAATGTTTCATTTAATTCAATTAATTTTTCTTTTTTACATACAAATTGATTTGTTATTATATGATAATATCCACATGGATTAATATATAAATTTAATGTTGATATTATTTGATTATTTCTATTTATAGTATTATTCATTATTAATGGACATTGACAACAATAATTTAATTTAAAACAAGTATGTGATAAATACAATGCACATGCATCAAATTTTGACCATATACCACGAAGAAATTCAGCAATACATTGTTTAAATATATCACTTTGACGCCATGAATTAATACTATCATTAGTTATTGAACCATTTAAAACTGATTGATGACAATCAGTTTTTAATACATTTCTTTCTATTATTGGTATTGATGTTGTTGATGGTGTATCACGTATAGTTGGTCGTCGAAAAACTCTTTTTGCTAAATCAAGTATAGCTGAACCAATAATACCACCAACTTGTTGATCATTTAATAAATTATTATCATCATCATCATCTTCATTTTCATCTTGATTATTTAATAAAATTTTTGAATCAATTAAATTTGTATTTTCTTCCATTGTCATTATTTCATCTTCAACATTTGATCCATGTATACGTACAACACTTAATGGACAATAATGTTCATGTCCATGAAAATCTAATAATTCAAATTTAACATATTTAACATAAGTTGTAGATTCCATTGTTTGAAAACTTTGTATTGTACGATTATATGATGCATTAAATGTACCCAAATAATGACGATGCCAATCTTTTGTCGGATATCTTAAATATTAAAGATATAGAATTTTGAAAATAAATCTTTCTAGTGTTGAATAGTTTTTGTCTTCTTACGATAATAACGATACTCTTATTTAGATCAACTATTAAAATATGATGTTTTTCTGTTGAATTAGTTAATTCATCATGAGTCCACCCTAAGCTGAAATAATAGGTCCAACACTAGATACCTGTCTGTAAACATTGAATCGAAGTGAATGTAGCATCGTATGTTTATTCTCGAAATATATCGGTATAAAATTTTCCAGAAATATTTGTGAATATTATTTTGATAATATTATCAAGTTCTCTTTCCGATATTGTTCATTCATTTTGAATAAAAATAGTATTATTTCCTATCTTAATCATTTCATTGATATTAAAATATCGAAAAATTATGTTTTATACTTTTGAAACTTTATTTACCTGTCTGATGATGAAACTCGAAATGTTTTTGGAACACTTGAAAAAAGTTCAAAATTAGCAATTTCAATATTGAGAATACGAATTGATTCACAAAGTTCAATAGCAAACCTACAGAAACATGTTCAAAAAAAAAACGAATTCAATAGTACAAAAAAAAAAAAGATTTTCTTACCAAATTTTTGCATTACATGGATTAAGCATATATTCATCAGGTGATGAAGATAAAATCGATGGAACATTTTGTGCTTCAATATTATGTGCAAGAATTTTTGCACCACATGATGCACTAGCAAAATTTTTACGAAGTTTGCCTTTTTTTGATAAACCTATTGTAGATGTCATTTGTGGAATATTTGTTGACGATGAAGATCCTTTTGATGAACCTGTTGAAATTGTTTCCGATTGTAGATTATTATGATTTGCAGTTTCATCTTTTTCTATTTATATATAAAAACAGATATTATTATTTGAACAGATTTTCTCAATAACAACAAAAAAAAAGGAAATCAACTAACTTGATAAATCAGCTTGAAGTTGTTGTTGTTTCCATTCTTCAAATGAATTAATATTTGATCGATTATTTTTAGGTGTCGATGGACTTGCTTGTTGTTGATCATCCGTAGTTTGATTTTCTGCCACTTGTGAACTAAAAAATGATATTGAAAGTTTATTTCATTTCATTAATAACATACGAAGATGTCGGTCGAGATATTTCATCAATAATATCTGATTTATTTTCTGTTGATCTATAAAAATGATCAAATTATAGATTTAAAATAACAAAAAAAAATATTATTTACATCGTCGGCAGATCATTTGTTACTGTTGTTGATACAGGCTCAGATATTTTTGCTTCAAAATTCTAAAAATATATAACTATGAATAATCTATTTATATAATTATTAAATATTTACTGAATCAGACATAATATGACCATTTGATTTTGAGATATATTCATCAATAGCATCAGTCTGATTGTTCTCATCAGTCTATATAATTCAACAAATTTTTTTCGATAAACAAAAAAAAAACAAAGAAATTTTTTACTTTGTTCGAAATAGAATTTTGTTCAATTGAATCTGTAGATCTAATTGATGGAATACGAATACATAAGAATAAACTGATGATAAAAAATGTTCTAAGTATAATTGTTTTAAAAAAAAGAAAAGAAATAAAATAACAATATTGAAAATATTTATATGACTTACAAAATACTGAATTTTGTTGATTGAATGCACACGCCCATTCATGAAAAAAAAGGAAAATAAATATCAATGGTGGGAGATAATCAGGACGGATTTTATCTGAAATAGACATGATACATGTCAAAAATGATCAAAGGAATGTCCTACACAAAAACATTCGTATCTTTCTTCTTTTTTTTTGGTTTCGTGAAACTTTAACAATAATAACAGTAACAAAAGGAAACACAAATTTTTTTTTTTGTTTTATTGTTCATTAATCAGTTTTGATAAATGATGGTTCAAGTTTATTGATTTTATCAGTAATTTCATCGAATAATTCTTTATATTCAGGATGAGAACGGATCATCAATAAACAACATGTTCGATTGGCACGAATTACACTACCTAAATCTTCTTTTGATGGTACAAATACATATGGAATATTTGATTCTTCTATAATTAGAAAAAAAAAAGAAAACGTATTGAAAAATTTTTATTTAAATTCATTTTTTTTTGAAAATAAAATAATTACCACAAACAACAGGCATATGACTATAAATATCAATTGGTGTTACATTACCAGCAAATATAACAAGACCTTTTTCTCCACGACGAATATATTTTTGTGTTTCACGTAAACCTAATCGAATATAATTTTTTTGTTTAGTAGCTTGTTTAATACATTTAAATATTTTTTTTGCTAATTTTTTAGGTGCAACAGGTGATGCCATTGCATTCATATATTTAAATTTTTCTTCATAAGTTGGACCTGTATTTTCGGTTTCATTTATTGTTCCATTTTCACCTTTATTTCCTGTACTTGTATCCATAGCTTCATCTTGTTGAGTTGTATTATTTGTACTATGTTTTTTATCTTTTGTCATTCTTGTTCTTTTATTTTTTTTTTAACTTAATTGAGTTTTATAGACTTTTCTATAGAAATAACGTCTATGAATAAATATAATTTGTAATCTCGTGAATGAAATGAGTCATAAAAAAAACATCAATTCGATTGGATAATATATCTGTTTGAAGATGAATTTATTAGCGCCACTATTTATTTATTACTGGTAGATAACAAGTATAATTAGATGATGTTTATTATTTGTTTGTTGTTTTATTTTTGAGAACAAACGAAGAAGATGCGTGGTATAAAGAAAAAGCAAAAAGAAAAACGTAAATCTCGTACAAATGAAACGATGAAAAAAAATTCATCAAATAAAACAAACAAATCAAATCGTTCGTCTAGTATAGTAACTAAAAGTTTTGAAATCTTTGTTACTGATTTTCTTACTGATCCATGTGGCTTACCTGTTGAATTAAGAGATTGTGTTTTAGTTGACGGAACAACATCTTCGAATGATGCATCAGGTTTTATATATTAAGAAACAAAAAAAAAACAGTCAATAATTATATTTATTTAGATAATTGTTCATCTAATAATTGTCAAGTTCTAAAGAAGATCTTTGGAAATAATGAATCAAGTGATCGTATGGTTCAAAATTCTGTTTCATTGGTAGTTGATGGTAAAATTTATATAGTTTGACTTTTTTGTTTAAAAATAATTTTTTTTGTATTTTTTTATTTAAGAGCCATCTAAAATAGCACATGAAAGTGAACATAGGATGAATATCTGACAAGGATGTAAATATTAGTAAAAGAAAACAAATACATTCAATTATTCTATTCTTCTTTTCATGAATGCTCAGGATATTCTATTTTTCTTTGTTTTTTTGTGAATAAGTGTTCTATTTAATTTCAGCTTTTTTGTCATTCAAATCTGTATACATTCACATTTATTCATATAAGAGGTTGCTATTTTTTTGTTGTTTTGCAGTATGTATAGATAGTTAGAAGAAACGTCATTTATGACGAAAATCAAATTTATTATTGAGAATGATCTGTAATCATGTCATAATTTCTATTCAATATAAATATATTCTTGGTGGACATATAAGTATGTGAAGATTGACAAATGTATTTGGATGCCATGGAAAAAGGATTTTTGTTGTTTTTTTTCTTTGTCAATGTTACAAATGTTTAAACTTTCATATATTGAAAATAAAATCATTATGGTTTTGTAGATATTTAGGGATTCGATTGTTTAAATTTTAAAATATTGTTTTAAGCAATAAGTTTTTCTTAATCGACAATCAAATATCGATTGTTTACAATATAGCTGGACTTACAAATCAAAAAAGAAAGAAAAAATGATAGACATACCAGAGTTTATTATTTCATTTTCTAAAACAGTTGTCAAATTAAAAAAAAACGTTAAATATATAATTTAAGTATTGATATGAAAAATATTTGAAAACAAGTTGATGATGAACAAGACGTGAAAAATAACTTTCAATGTGAAATTGAAGATCCTGTGATAGATGCTAAAAGCAATGAATGATTTAATCAATTAAGCGACTTCGCGCCTCTTACTACGTTCAATTAAATAAAAAGTCTTCTAATATGAATGTCTACATGTAAAGAGTTGTTTATGTTTTTAAGAATTTTTCGTATATAAAAAAGAACCAACGTTTGACGACAGCAAACGATGTTTGATAAAAACTGTAGCTAAACATTCGGAATTCTCAAGAATTCAGACGTGGCAAACAGCATTACGATCAAGAGAACTAATACTTCGAGGACAATGGAATGATGAATATATCGATAAAATTACTCACACACAAATCTCTTTTGGTATTAGTACGAGCGACTAATTTACCACATTAGTCATACCTAACAGATTTCACCACAAAGAAAATATTTCATGTGATTTGAAAACCATTGAAATTTTAAAGTCAGTTGTTTCTTTCTCAGGCGTATGACAAACATATCTACTAGTCATATTCTGTAGGAGTCCAACTTTCTCTCTTTGATCACTAGTTAATCTTCTTTTTCTTCTTCGTAGTTCACTTCACTGTTTTATTGCATTTAGAAAATCTTTTCTTCTCGTCCACTACTTATCATCATATTAGTTTGATGCTATGAAAAGAATCCATCGATGTCAAGATTTTGAAATTTCTCCACACATGAGACTTTTGTACTAAGACTCTCAATGTGAATTTCTAGGAAAAGATATACTTGATGTAAATTTAGCACGTATAGAGTGTGGATGTGAAGTCTGTATATTCTTGGCGTACATGCCGTTTCTGCGTGCTACTGTAGGTAGATAGTTTCACATGTTAGGTTTGCATATTGACAAACCCGTGTAGATGTGATAGTGTAATTACCGCATATTTTATATATTCTGCGTGTGGATGTAGATGAGGGTGTTGGTGATAATGTGAATGTGGATATGGTTGCGGATAGGAATGCGACGGTGCGGTGTGTGATGTGGGTTGTGAGTATGAGTGTGGTTATTCGAACAATAAAGTAGCATACTGCACGTATTCCCACGTACTCATTCACCTTGATACTTGTATGATACTCCGATGTTTTAAGTCTTTACTTATCTTCAGATCGCTCAAGATGGATAACGTTTACAGCTCATCTTCAGTCAGTAATTCTTAAAATACGTCAGCTTTACCAGAGTAAACAGTGTGAATATAGATTGTTAACTGTCTGTATTTCTAGGGTTTGCTCGGACGCAAATATACAGCCAGTACTTTATTAATAGAATCGACCGTCAATATCCAATTTGTCTGTCGTACACTATGGATTTCAAATCAATCTTTAGAATTTCTGTAACCGAACTGTGCTTGCATCGTTTCTACACCATAAACTTTGTGAAAGGCACAGATTTCTGATTCACAGACAAGTGTTACACTATCAATGGTCTCATTCGTATCCAATCATTGTTGGTAACAAGGTGTCATTTTGGTTGTGGGTGTGGGTGGGGTGTGGATGTGGGTGTGGGTATGGGTGGGGCTAGCATTAGTTCTTCACCTTCACCCACATCCGCACCCACACCCACACTCTCAGGGCTTTTCCTAAATGAATATAATAGTAAATGAACAACAATTTGGAAAACTTTAAAAAATTCCAGAAGAGAAAATCGACGTAGTTTATCATAATTGTGAAAATATTTCACTATCGAATTTTCGGATGATTGCAACAGTTCGTCTCATTCAATGAACAATAGCAGATCGAATTATTACTAAATATTATCTAATGAATCTATAAAAGGTTTTATCCGTCATACAACTTCACAAAGAATATCCAAAAGATTAAATTGAAATTAGATAAATTTGATACGCATCTTACAAAATATCAACAATCGGAAGAACTCTTTTTTTCAGACGAAGTTTCTTTTTATTTAAATGATCTATTGATAAAAATAGAGTGAAGATCTATGCGTATAAGTTATATATGGGTATTTCCATGGGGTCTCAACCACGTTTACATCGACTTTCTCCAAATCGCGTGAAAATTTCAGCTTTTGTAGACCATATTGAGGTATGAAAATGCCGCGTATTAGTTTGTGAAATTTCTTTAATAAATACATACATATGGACCATGACATTTGTTAGGCTATATAGGTAAAATCAAGGGGGAAACGGCGGATTCCCGGGATTCCGAATCCCAAGGGAATCCCATGGGAATCCTGGGAATCTTGGAAATCCTGGGAATCCAATGGGAATCCAGGGAATCCCACGGGAATCCAGGGAATCCTGGGAATCCCGGAAATCCCATGGGAATCCTAGGAATCCAGGGAATCCTGTGCCTAAGAGTCATCAATAGAT